GTGTGTCGTCAGGGCGTCGTCGGGCCTGACTTCGTTCTGACATCGTGTGTAGTCAGGGTGAGGTCAAGTGTCGTCAGATGTAGTCGTCAGATGTCTGGCCACATTGAGCGTTCACCAAAGGAAAACCAAAGGTTCAAGTGTAGCCTGTTTACTACCCATGCAGCTGCTGCCACATGGCAGTCAGAGTGGGCACTGACTTCAGTGGCCTTGAGACCCCATGTCGGGCACTGCGCTGCCTTGGTGTTCCACATGCCTTGGTCTTTGCAAGTGAGCCCAACAAGAAGTTGGCAAGTTGGCAAAACTGATCAAGCTTGATTTCAAGCCACGGGCATTTTACAAGGACAAACCAAACTTACTGTAGTATTTGCCTGGAACACCCTCTAGATTTTCCACAGTCAATGACAGTGCTTCGCTGCAGGATATCGTGGCACGTGATGACACCGATTCAGCCTGCCCCGAAGTCGATCTCTAAATTGCTGGTGCCCCCTGCCAACCATTTAGCAGCGCTGGGAAAAAGCGAGGGTGGACAGATTTCCGTGCAAAATTGATGAGAAAATCTGGTAACTACATCATGCGCAAGTTGCCCAAGACATTCATCTATCAAAATGTCCCAGCATGGCGGAAACACAAGCGTTTCAGGCCTGGGTACATCAAGTTCAAGCAGCGCTTGATCAAGGCTGGCTACACCATCTTCACAAAAGACCTCGGGACCAGTGACCATGGACTTCCGCAAGCTCGATTGAGAACCTACATGGTTGGCTTCAAACGGTCATTGAATGTCAAGAAGTTCTCATTCCCTCAGCCATTATCCTGGGGGCCTCTTCATCCCATGCACTGCCTGGTTGATGCGGCTTCAGAGATGAAAGAAGAGGACCAGTCAAACACCGTGAAGAGAAATTTGAGGACGGCTTCATGTTTCTTTGCAAGCTTGATGTCTCACATGTTTTTTTCGCAAATCCAATGAACCAGTTCACCTTTGAAACCTGGCCAGGAAAGCCAAGAAAGAGCGCAAGGAAAACAATATTGACTACAATACTTCTTATGTTTTTGTTGACGTGGATGCTGGCAAGAAATTCGTGCATCCAGCTGCAAAAGCTTTGAAACAATAAAGACTGGTGTTTGTCACTGCTGCAGTGAGTTTGTGTTTTCATGGTTGATCCTGGGGCAATGGAAGTTGAATGAGGCCACGACCATTACAGCTTCAAGGGGCAAGACTGGCTTTTACGTGACAAAGCTTCAGCGGCGCCTCACTGTAAAGGAATCGTTGAGGCTCCAGGGTATCCGGCTTAAAAAAAGCACTGTGTTGAAGGCCAAGTTCACAAAAACTCAGCTTGGGGCAGCAGCTGGCAATGCCATGTCACAGAATGTTCTGGAGCGCCTGCTGTGCAGAGTTTTGAGGCAAAGTGGCTTGTACCCAGGGGCAGAAGACCCATGGGAAGTCAGGTCTCACAATCCTTTCAATTAAATTAGGATTGTGCACTGGGGACGCATCAGGGGAAACATTTTTGCAGTCAGTGCATGCAAAGAGCTGTGCTTTAGCTCAGTTCAACCAAAGTCAAGGAAAGTTCATAGTCAATCTTGATCTACTTTGAGGTGTAGATTTCTTGCCAATGTTCTTGCAACTTTTTGTTGCTGCGTAGTTCATCAGCTGCTTGCTTCACTGTCAGCTTTCCATACCCTTTCCACACTGCTTCGGAGGAGATTCTGGCAAAGCGTTTACCAACCTCTGTTTTGACATTGTGCATCTTGAGGTCATTGATTGCCCGATGTCTTCCGCTGTGGGACCTGATGTTGGCCACCTTGACTTCACCAACATTTGGTGGGACAAAGGTCTTCCTGGCTCGTCTTATAGCTGCAGAGACAGTGTCCTAGCAGAAACAATGAATAGCAACATATAGAAACACATTAGATGTAGACATCAGAAAAAGCAGGGAAATGCAACAAAGCAGTCCTTGTTCATGATCTTTCCCTTGCAATCACTGCGAACTGCTGGAAAGAGATCTGGAAGAGATGCTGTGGGCCAGGTCCACGTGTCCTGGAAGGTCACCAGGCCCCTGCTGCCACATTTCCGGGTGCGTGTGATTGTCAAACCACCATTTTCCTTCCATTCATTGAGCTTCTCAAACAGTGCCGTCAGCATAGGTTTGTCAGTTTCATAATTTCCGTCACTCTGGCGCACAGACAATGGCTCATCACTGCAAAAACCACAAGCCAAGTTGGCCCAATACGCTCCAAGTGTTCAATCCATGCCTTCCATGCACCCCCCACAAGCGAGTCTGCTGCCCCTCTTGTTTTTTCTTCTCTTTTTGCGCTGACTTCATCACTTTCATGGCTGCAGCAGGACGTCCTGGTCTCCTTTTGGATGATGAAGCACAGGCAGGCATTGCAGTTGGATCATTGACAGTGCTCTTCAGTGTGGCTTGAGCCAAAAGCCGTGTCAGCCCCTAATAACTTATTCTGACAAGTCACATGCCATTGACTTGACATTGCAGGCTTGCCTTGAGGGACCCATTGACGTTCATTGTCCACGTTCGTCATTGTCATTGTCCTCAGTGTACAGTGCTCAAACTAAAGTACTTCAAGAAATGATGTAGTGCTGACTGTTGACGCAATAACTATCTCCAAGCTACATCAACGTAAGCATGCAAACTCATTGTCATACAGAAAGCAAAAAACATCTTATATAGTCCTTGCCATGCAAAGCCCTTCCATTGTGGCAAAATGGAACATATGGCGTCGCAAGTGGCAACCAAAGCTGCAGGTGACAAAGAAGTGCAGCCATGAATGGATCAGAAACTTGCCTCAGACTCCAGAAAAGACACTCTTGCTGAGTGCAACCTGGCTTGGATTCCAAAAGAAACGCAAAGGCACTTGGAAAGCAGGGTGCAAGGTTTGTGCACATTTCAATGACACTCAGGCCAGGGCCTTTAGATCCTTTGATGTTGACGTCCTGAAATTTTCAATTTTGAGAAGACACCACAAAAGCAAATTCCACAAGAACAATGTGCAGCGGCTCATGGGAAAGAGTGTGGGCGTCAGTGCACCTACAGAATCTCAATTTCTGAGGGTGTGGGATGAGCTTCAGAAAGGGGTTTCCCCTCATTCACTGGACATTGACAACATGAAGGCTGCCAAAATCTATCGAATGGTTTTTTGCCTCTCTGAAGCACTGTACGCAAAGGATAGGGAATTTGCACGGAAAGCAGTTGTGGGATCAATCCGACGTGATGAATCCAATGGACGGCTTTTGCTGTACTTCTCATTGGTTTCAAAAGATTTGCAATGCAGAAGTGGGGTGCTTGGTGTCAAAAAAGGATTTGGGACAGGGGCCAAAGCAATCACCTGGGGAAATGCGGTTTTGCTGGCACTGCTCAACATATGCTTGGAATTGTACCCCAAGATCACCCTTTAGATGTTTTGGTTCCGTGAGGAGAGCGGCCAAGTACGCATCGAGCCTGGGAAGAAACATGCATTTGCTGACATTCAAGTTCAAGTCAACATTTGGATCAAGGGCCTCCAAGATCCAGTGAAGAATGATGTCACTACCTGTGATGTCAATGCTACATAACTTGGTCACTAGTCCATTCTTCCAACCTCTGAAAGCAGCAGCGTCTTGGGGCAATGACTCAATCTTCACGGACTGCAACGCCTTGTAGCGATACACAGACTCTTCCGAAGACAACACTGCGGACCCAACACCAATGAATGCTGCGCAAACTAGGATGTGATGAACGTGTACTACCCCAGGATTACTACCACCTGGATCGTTGGGCGATCCACTGGGCCAACTAGGCGGAACCCCCCCTGGTCCATGGCCTCCATTCGAGGATGAACTGGAACCTGAAGGGCTGTGTCCTGGCGGCGGGACAAACGGTGGCGTAGCACACGCGGACTGGGCATCATGCGGTGGTGTCGCAATGGACATTCTCTGGGGCACAGGCAACTGAATTGGAAAACCTGGAGTTTGGATCTGCCTAATCTCCCTACGAAGCGAGTCAATGACAATCATCAGTTCCTCTTGGTTCACCGCGCCATTTCGATCCTGTGGAGGAGCAACTGGAACTGAAGAATGCCTTAACAAGACCACTTCATTTTGGAGGGCTGCAATTTGTGCAGACAACTCCTCATTCCTACCCCTGTGGGTATCAAGTGCCTGACTTTGGGACTCCACTACGGCCATTAGCTTCTGAATCTGGGCATCTGCTTCCTGCGAACGAACCTGTGCTTGGTGATGGAGCTGGTTTGCAACATCCCGTGCTTTGGTCAATTCGGCTTGGTGCCTAGCATTCATTTCTTGGATTAACACACTTGCTCTATCTTCAACAGTAGCTGCACGTGACCTAGCCTGATGGAGTGCACTTTGTGCTTCATCATAAACCCTTTGTGCCTGTAGTTGAGTTTCATGCACTACTCCCTGAGCTTTCAACTGAGCTTCATGGACTACACTGGCGGCCTGTTGGGTTTCATGGATACGTGCCACTGCTTCATGCACCATGGAATGGGCTTGAGCTTCTACGGAGTGAACATGTTGGATCACCTGGTCGGGATCAATGCCTACTTGAACATTCATGGACCTTTGGTCATAAAGATTCTGTTGGGTGGCATGAACCTGAACTGTTGGTGAACCATCTGCTTCAACATCACTCATCTCTGACACTAACCCCTGAACCTTGGGCACCGGTGTAACAGCACCAGATCCGACCGGAACAATGGACCCTTCTCCACGATGTGATCTCGGTCTTGGTGGTCTATGGTTGCTGCTGCGCACGCTCGAACTACGAGATGATGTATGACCATCTTGGCTTCTCTTGGTCTTATTTCTTACTGCTAGCTGAGAAGACGGTTGTGGGGTAGACTGCAATGCACGGCGAGACGACGATGAGCTCGATGACCTACTAGCCGAACCAGCAGTTTCACGTGCCTGCAAAGCTCTACCCATGACTGGAATCACTTCTGGTGAGGTCGAAGAAACCTGCAATGATGCCTCTTCCGAGTTATCGGCTTCTTCCATGATTTCTGCTACTGTGGGCATGTTTGAATGAGAACGCACGAGCAAAATGCCCTTCAACCACTATAGGATGGGTTCACACAGACAAACAAGTAACTTACTTAGATGGGATCAAGCAAAGACTCACTCGCACCTTTTCACCTTTGATGGAAAGATGCACGAGAACCTTCACCCCTCGGTCGGCGAGCTGCAACTGATGCAGACAACGCCTGTCAACTTGAGAACACTGGCAAAAGGGGTGGCAATCAAACAAGGGATCAAATTTGCTTTGCAAAGATCAACACTTATGATTGCTCTACGATTGCTATGCAAACTCTGGTTCTATTCAACCAAACCTTCCACCCCTAATGCTGTTCCAGACCTCGTACACGTTCGCTCGATAGTCTGCAATGGAATCGCGTGCTTTGCGCGGCACAATGATCCCACAGATCGCCAAGTTGCAGCCCGGATTCTGATCAATGTACTCCCGCCACTCTGTGACAACTTCTGGGCTATCGTCGATGTGAAGAAGAAAGCACCGAGACGTGTCAATGAGCTGGAGCAAGGTCTGCAACTTACCTACCCCTCCGGCTGGCTTGCGAGTCACAACGATCTTTGCAAACTCTGGCTGAGGTCGACAATGTTGGAAAATGTTGTTCACTGTCGCTGTCTGATGGCAGTACGAAGTAACGATCTGAGTCGGATTGCTGGACAACGCCGCCACGCGAGCCAATGTATCCTGCACCTGTGAAGGCAATCGACCGTTCTCACAATACTCCCTCTGCCTTGAGGACACCCGAAAACAATCCAGCACCTGATGGAAATCCCACGACACCACCAAACGAGTCTGTGGATGAATCCGTGCCGAACCGTCCTCAATCTGCACCTCCAGCTCCCACTGCCTCCAACCCGGCAACGGAGGAAAGATCAACTGCGGCCTGAGCACTTCCGGTGCTTTGCACCGCTCAACAAGACGAATGTGCTCGATGGTCGAGGATGAAGAAACACGCTCAAGCTCGCGATGCACTGCGAAATCAAGAGGCCCGTCCTCCACAACAATCGGCTCGTCCCTTTCCTCCTCCGAATCAACAATGGTCTCCACCAAGGATACCGATTCAATGTCCGACGGAACTTCAACACCGCCAACAATGTAAAAATCTCTGATGTTCGGAAGCACAGTATACTTGTTCTCTGGATAGCCACGCTCGAGAAAAGCCTGCCTCTCCTCGATCTGTCGAAGACGATCCTCGTAGACCTGCCTGTCCGCTCGGTCCCAAAGCTGCTCCAACACACGCAGAATCCTCTCGTGAAGCACCTGCAACAAACCTCGATGGATGCCGCGGGTCCTGGCCCGAGCCTGTCGGCCTCCTCTCCGAGTCGCAAAGTTCCGCTGAAACGCGTGAACCAATCCCTCCCTGCTGCCGAGCCAACGGAGAACGCGATCTCTCCCTCCTCGGACGCGGTGGAGTCACAGGGCGGCGGCTCGGCCGCGGTGGTGTGACAGGACGACGGCTCATGCAACTCGAAAGAACGCACCAGTTGCTTCAAGTATCAAGAGGACGCTTGCAGTGAAACAAACGCGTGGCAATGCGGTGAAACAAACGCTTGCAGTGAAACTACTTTGCTTGCTCCAGCCACAACAACGGGATGTCACGCACACTTGCTCCTTGATACCTTTGGTTCACTAAGTTCTTAGGATCACACAAGACGAATGCCCTTGCACAAGGATTGGGATCTCTGGCAAAACGTCAAACTAAGAACACACTTTTGGAGTGGGTCTCAACTCAACAGCGAATGCACTCGACAGGTCTTTGACACGATTCAACTCAGTACCAGTTTCTCTTGAGGGACAGGGACTATCAAGTCGAATCACTTACCGAATGCAGTTGCTGGCAATTCCTAACTCTCTAATATGGAAGTTGGTTTCTTTCAGGAACTGGGGCTGCACGGGAGTGCAGACGACCAGCCCTGATGCACCCTGAACAGTCCTTGCCAAGATGCTCTGCTTCTTGTTTCACTGAGCTCACGCACAAGTGCCTTGCAAACCGATGTTGGCACGAAAGCGAATGAGATGGGTATATGGATGTGTGACTACACTTGGGCTCAATCAAGCAAGTACCACGAATATGGAAAGAGACTGATGAGGCTGTTAA